GGACAGTGGGGGCTCCTCTGCCCCTGGATGCCCCGATCCAGCCACTGGTCAGTTTCAGCAGCAGCGGACTTGGAGAAGCCGGGGGCAGAGCAGCTGAGGTGCTCTGCCCCAGGGCTTCCGCAAGTCCACCGCTGCTGAAACTGACCAGCGGCAGACTTGGGGAAGCCGGGGACAGAGCACCTCCAATTGTCCGACTGGCCAGAGCACTTCCGGGTTCCAGTTGGTGCTGGACTATTAGGAGTGCCGGACCACTAGATGCCGGACAATTGGAGTTTTACTGTATTGTATAAACGTTGGACGCCGGAGCAGCCTCTGTCTGCAGAGAGCTTGGGGCCTCTTGAGGACAGGGCCTGCTGCCGCACAGCAGCCTCTGCCTGGGGCAGGCCTAGTATGGGGTCCCCGGGAGTGAGGCCGGGAACGCACTGGCTGCTGGCCCTGCCCCCTGGGGACCATCAAATAATTGTGTAATCACTAAGAATTGTTGCGGTTATATGATTATTAAATTAAACAATTTCTAACATCCCTAATATCCACAGGATCCCCCTTGTCCATGTTCTTGACTCCCCACATGAATTTTAGTAAATTGGTAAGGCATGATTTCCCTTTATAAAAACCATGTTGACTCTTCCCCAACACAATTTTGTTTGTTAAATCAAAATGTTAGAAACTGTTAGAAAAGTGATAGAAAATGAGAGAATCTCATAGTGGTGATGCAGAAGTCCATGGGGGTGTACTCATATCTTGAATGCCATTCCAAGTTCTAGTCACCCCACCTCAAAAAAGACTTTCTCTCCTCTTAATTACTGTCAAGATGTGATTGAGCTATTAGAAAAGATTAAAAAGTTTATGGATTTAGAGCTTTGAAATAGATGAGTGACCTGATAGAGGTCTGTAAAATTGTGAGTGGGGTTGAAAAAGAGAATAATATTCTTTTATCCTTTCCCACAATACAAATAAGAATCTTCCAACATAATAAGTAGCAGGTTTAATACAAACCATGAGGAAATACTTTTCCACAAAATGCACGACTAGCCTTTGGAACACTTTGTCATGTGCTGTTGTGATGGCCAAAAGAGTAACTGAGTTTAAAAAATCCGGATAAATTAATGGAGGATAGTTCCATCTCTGGCTATTAGCCAAGATGGTCAGGGATGCAAGCCCATGGTCAGGATATTTCTAAACATTTGAGTGCTAGAAGCTGGGAGGAGAAGACGGGCTGATCATTCAAATTGTATCCTGCTATTTCTCATTCTGGTGCGAGGTGAGAGAAATATGGACACTATTTGATTATATTTTAAAATACGTAGAAGGCACTCAGATATTATGGTCATGGAGTAGTAGAAATAACTAGATGTAGAAGTAAAGTGATGGATTCCTCTGTAGCTAGAGACCTAAAACTGGAGTACAAAACATTAAATACATAGTACATAACAATTCAGCACTCACAGAAGACTGAATTCCAGGATCTAGTAGCTGTTTCTATAATTTCTATGCATAATGCACTAAAGAAAGCACTTTCTGTAATTGTGTTTACTTGGCAGATACTGAGTTCCTGAAAACCAAGAGGGAAGATTCCAGCCTTAATATTCCACTCCCACTTCCAAGCATTGTTCCTGACCTTGAAAAAAGTTTAGGAGAAGCTTTATCCTCTATATTAGAAACTGAAATGAAAATTGCTTTTGGAAACTTGTGGATGGAGGTGGTTACTTGTGCTGTTTTGCATATTTCAAATACTAAGTTAAAAATTGAACTATAGACTCTGAGACATTTTCCTGCTTTTTACATTACAGTGTTAATGACAGTAGGATTGATATAGTCCAGTGGTGTGGAAGATGTCTCAAACTACAATACAGTAATTGATTCCTGAATTAACTTTTTATTATAACCTCTTACGAAAATTTCAACAGATTTTTTTTTGTTAGAAAACTACAAAACTGGCAAATTGTGCTGCACTGTCATGATTTTTCAGGAATCCTGCTTCTATGCTTAACAGAGTTTCAGTGTTTGATTTTGAATTTAAACTATTCATATAAAAATACGCTACTAGGAAAAGAGATGTGATGAGAAACATTATTTAAAATATATATTGATAAGTAATATTGCAGTAAAACTACAGCTCTGTTAAGAGGTTCTGGTAATATCTTAAACCATGAGACCTTGAGTAATTTGTCAGTTAACCCATTGGAGAATGTGGAAGATGCAAGTGTGACCATTCTTATATTTTAGATGGAGTCTTATTAAAAAAATTAAAAATCCTATAGGACAGTTATATAAAATGCAACATAAGTAGAAGCATTTCTCCCTCCCTCTGCCACCTCCAATCCTAAGTAGGGAAATTCAGTGTCCAAATTCATTCTGACCTCACCTCTTTTGGGAGTTTGCCATTTGGTATTCTTGTAAGGTGTACAGTACACCTTTCTAACATGAATTATTGCTCCTAGCCTAATACACTTTGTGTGTCACTAAACAGCCATCTGATACTAACTAATCTGAAAGGGATTTGAACAAGTGACTTAGAAGGGAAGGTTCATGCTTCCCATTTCCAATTCTGTGAGCCATTCACTCACATAGATTATAGTTTAATTAAATAATGTATTTTGATATTGGGATGATTACATTTAATAGTAATTTTATGTGCTGTCTGGTTGATCAGTGTGAATTTTGGAAATTCACATTTTATTAACAGTAACTTTGGACTTGTTCATTAGCATAAAAAAATGCTAAACACTTTACAAATATTCCAATTAACTATTTCAGCTAAGTGAAAATGTTAATTACTTTTATAATCATCTGTACAAGATGAACTCTGAGAGCTCTCAAGTAACTAGAACTAACATTTCTTGTTTCAGTTCATAGATCTTACTTTTCTTGAATGTACAAATAGAAAATGTCCTTCACAGAAATATTTAATAAAACTCTATAAATAGGGCTAGTCACAGCAGTGCACATATGCTAATTGGAATGCTTTTTAAAAAGTCTGTGCAAGTTGGATCTCTATAATCCAGACTAGGGATGTGAAAGACTAGTCGACTATACAATAAGCAAATGCTTATCCGATAGTTGACAGGATAGTCAACTATTCGCTTCCCCTCCCTTTGCTGCCTCTATCAGATAAAGACAGCAAGCAAGAAGAAGAAAGAGGGTACTTCAAAGTGGGAGCACCACTTGAAGCCCAGGGCCAGACCCCGGGCTCCACATGGTGCTGCTGTTTTGAAAAGTCGCATGCAGACCAGGACAGCAGGAGTATCCCCAGGCTGCATGCAGTGATTCAAAGCAGCAGCTCTGTGTGGAGACTGGGATCATTCTGGGGATTCTGCAGCTGACCCCTGGCTCCGTGTGGCACTGCCACTTTGAAATGCCGTGTGCAGCCCAATGCCAGCTGATCCCGGGCTCCGTGGGGCGATGCCACTTTGAATCGCCAGGGAGCCCGGTGTCAGGCTCCTTGCGGCATTTCAAAGTGGCAAAGCCACATGGAGCCCGGGGTCAACTGCAGAGTCCCCAGAATGATCCCAGGCTCCACACAGAGCTGCTGCTTTGAATCACTGCATGCAGCCTGGGGATACTCCTGCTGAGGACTCCCCAGCTGACCCCAGGCTCCCTGTAGTGCTGCTGCTTTGAAACACTGTGTGGAGCCTGACTGTTCAATTAGTCAATTACCCGATATTTAACATCCTTAATCCAGATTTCTCTTGTCGGGCAACATACATGGTCCGGTATCCTCGGATGTTTGAGGCTGGAGCACTCGTGGAAAAGCTTGGGGCCCATGCTCAGCAGCTCCTCCTGCTTGGGCACTACAAATAACTATTTATTTCAGCATTCAAGGTCAGGAAGGGAGGGAGACAAGCTGGGATGGGGTGAGGTTGCTTGGGAGAAGAGTAGGGTGACTAAGGAGTCCCATAACCCAGGGCCAGAAACGTAGCCCGGAAGTGAGACTGGGAGCGCAGCCCCGTTGCTGTGGGGCTCTGCCACTGGCTGCAGGGCTGCAGGACTGGTCTCCTATGGCACTGTGCTCCCAACACTCTCTCCTGGTCCAGGACATGTTATGGTTCCCAGGCAAGGGAGTTTCAACCTGTAACAGGGCTGTTGTGCAATTTTGAATTTTCTTAATCTCATGCTTAAACAATAGTAGCATTTATTTATAAATTTTTGGATGTTCGCTACATTTTCAAATATTGCTTTCCTTTGCAACATAGAATACAAAGTGAACAGTGCTCCCTTTATATTTGTGATTACAAATATTTGCACTGCAAAAAATAAATAAATAGTATTTTTTCAATTTACCTAATGCTGTAGTGCAATCTCTTTATCATGAAGTAGAATTTATAAGTGTAGATGTTAAAAAACAACCCTGCCTTCAAAAACAATGTAAAACTTCTGTCCACTCATTTCTTCTACTTGTCCAGCTAATTGCTCAGAAAAACAAGTGAGAACAGGCATTTGCATGGCATTGTTGTAGCCAGCATTGCAAGATATTTACGTGTCAAATATTCTAAAGATTCATATGTCCTTTCATGTTTCAATCAGAGGATGTGTGTCCTTGCTGATGACGGATTCTGCTGAATAACGATCCAAAGCAGTGTGGACCAATGCATATTCATGTTCATCATCTGAGTCAGATGCCACCAGCAGGTTGATTTTCTTTTTTGGTGGTTTGGGTTCTGTACTTGCTAAGTTGTTTGGAAAGCATGATTCATACTTCATCCCTCTCAGAATTTGGAAGACATTTCGGATTCTTAAACCTTCGGTGGAGCACTGTAGCTATCTTTAGAGATCTCATATTGGTACCTTCTTTGTGTTTTTGTCAAATGTGCAGTGAAAGCATTCTTGAATCAAACGTGCTGGGTCATCATCTGAGACTATCATAACATAAAGTGTATGACAGGATATGGGTAAAACAGGAGACATACAGTTCTTCCACAAGGAGTTCAGTCACAAATTTAATTAACATTTTTTTTTTGAACAAGGGTCATCAGCATTGAAGCATGACTTCTGGAGTGAGGATCAAAACATGAAGAGGGATATGAATGTTTAGTATATCTGGCACATAAATATCTTGCAGTGTGGGCTACAAAAGTGTCATGCAAATGCCTGTTTTAGCAGGCAGCCTCTCCCACAAATGTAAACAATCTTTCTCTTAGCTATTGGTTGAACAAAAAGTAGGACTGAGTGGGCTTGTAGTCTCTGAAATTTTAAATTGTTTTGCTTTTTAATGCAGTTAGATTTGTAAGTTGCACTTTCACGATAGAGATTGCACTACAGTATTTGATATGAATTGAGAAATACTGTTTTATCATTTTACAGTGCAAATATTTGTAATCAAAAGTAATGTAAATATAAAGTGAGCACACATGATATAGTTTTGTGTTGACCTGGAAGCCATTTTTGCCATCTCCGACTCAAAGAATATTTGCAACATATCACTGAACATTGCACCTACCCACAGGGTTTCTCCTACCAACACTACACTAAAAAGAATTCAATGTGGGCTCCTTCTGATGGTTGAAATTACAGTCTGGGTCTCTACATTGAGTATTTCTGCAAACATCCACAGGCTAACATTATGAATAAACAATATAATGTGCCTCATAATCTCAGCATTGCAGCCTGCAACACTGTACACAGCCTCAGAAACAACTCTGACATTATAATTAGAGAGGCTGACAAAAGAGGTGCTATAATCATCAATATGTCAGATTATGAACTGGAGGCTGCCAGGCAACTCTCTAACACCACATTTTACAGGCCACTTTCCTCTGATCCCACTGAGGAATACCAAAAGAAACTACACCATCTGCTCAAGAAACTCCCTGCAATGGCATAGGACCAAATCTATATAGACACACCCCAAAAGCCCCAACCAGGTATATTCTATCTACTACTCAGGATCCATAAACTTGGAAATCCTAGACGCCCCATCGTCTCAGGCATTGGCACCCTTACAGCAGGGTTATCCAGCTATGCGAACTCTCTCTTCAGACTCTGTTACCAGTGCTCCTAGCTATCTTCTAGACACCACTGACTTCCTGAGGAAACTATAGTACATCAGTAATCTTCCTGAAAACACCATCCTGACACCATGGGTGCAAAAGCTCTCTACACCAATATTCCACATGAGGATAGAGTACAAGATCTCCGGAGTAGTATCTCCAATGACGCCCTGACACATGAGGTGGCTGAGTTTTGTGATTTGTGAATTCCATTGGGATTTCAATTTCCACCCCACTATCAACCTCAGCCTGGAACAATCCACACAAGAGATCCACTTCCTGGACACTACAGTACAAATAAATGATGATCACATAACATCACTCTATACCACAAACCTACTGTCTGCTGTTCTTACCTACGCACATCTAGCTTCCAGCTAGGACACATCACATGATCCATTGTCTACAGCCAAGCCCTAAGATACAATTGTATCTGCTCAATCCCTCAGACAGAGACAAATATCTACATGATCTTTATCAAGCATTTTAAAAACTTAAATACTCCCCTGGTGAAGTTAAAAAACAGATTGACAAAACCAGATGAGTCCCTAGAAGTCACCTCCTTCAAGACAGATATAACAAAGAAAATAAATGAACACCACTGGTTATAACCTACAGCCCCCACCTAAAACCCCTGCAGCACATCATTGACAATCTACAACCTATCCTGGAAAATGATCCCTCAGTCACAGACCACGGGAGACAGGTCAGTCTTTGCCTACAGAAAGCCTGTCCAACCTGAAGCAAATACTCAACAGTAGCCACACAACACACCACAGAAACACTTAACAAGGAACCTATCCCTGCAACAAATCTCATATATCTATACAACTCTGTCCATATATCTATACAAGTGACACCATCACAGGACCTAACCACATAAGCCACACTATGGGGAGCTCATCCAGCTGCACATTCTCTAATGTGTTACGCCTTCAAGTGCTATCAATGCCCTTTTGCCCTGTATATTGGCCAAATTAGACCGTCTCTGTGCCAAAGGATAAATGGACACAAATTAGACATCAGGAAAGGTAACATACATAAACCTGTAAGGGAATATTTTAACCTCCCTGAACATTCCATAATGGATTTGAAAGAAACCATCCTTCTACAAAAGAATTTCAAAACATGATTACAAAGCGGGAAGGCTGAATTGGAGTTCATTTGCAAATCCAGTACTATCAACTAGAATTGAATAAGGATCTTAATTGGTTAACACACTACAAAGGCAGTTTCCCTTCTCTTGATATTCACATCTCTACATCAACTGCTGTGAAAAAGCCACATCCATCCTAACTTGATCAGCCTCATTAACACAAATCATTTCTTTCTTTTGTTATTCTTATATATATCCCTGCCCATGTGTACAGACTCAGGCAGTTCATCTGCTGAAGTGGCTTTTACCCACGAAAACTTATGCCCTAATAAATTTGGCAGCCTCTATGTTGCCGCAAGACTCCTCGCTGTTCTGTGTTGTAATTGAAATCAATATATTTGAAAATGTACAAAAACATCCAAAATACTTAATACATTTCAATTAGTATTACATTAGTGTAATTAAAACTGTGATAAATTGATTTTTGAAAAAAATGGTTAATTTTTTTTAGTCACTTGAGTTAATTGCAATTATTCCACAGCCCTAGTCTGTGCATGTGTAAGAGACACCACTTCAGTAAAACTGATTTGAACAAGGCGATGGTTTGTCATATGATATGCAATAATTTGCGTTAAAAAAACGGGTGTTTTTTTCCATTTCTGAGAATCCTTTGGATGCCTACTTCAGTATGTACATTGATATTAAAGAGTAATGCAAATGAGAAATTTACATTGATAAAGATGCATGGTTGTGACATTTTTAAAATTTTCACTTTGAGGTACTGTACCTGAAGCCCCCGTGGACCCTAGCAAGCTTACTTCAGTGCTTTAAAAAACACTGGATGGCTGTATTTGGATATATTGTGCCAAGAAATTTACTTGCAACCATTGAATGCCTTCATGAACATCTTTGTAAAGGTAAGAGTACTATGTGACTCCTTTTTATGTAATAAGATTTTAAACATAAATCTCTTTATTGAGGTCAAGCCCTCTAATCACAGGAGTCTTAAGTTTGTATTATGAAAAAACAAGTATGATACATATTTAAAGGCTTTTTTCTCCTTTCGATTCAAGAATAACGGGAGTCACGGGGGTTGTTCAAGGAAGACAATACCCTGGAGAAATATTTTTCCTTTTTGACTTTCACAAAAATGGGTGGTAAAAATTCCAGTTTGTTGCATACAAGCATTTTGTAACTCAGAAATCCATGATACAACACTTGTTAGTAAAGACAAAAAGCAAAAACTGTATAACCCTAAATCTGTTCAGACCAGGGCTCTTGGTTTCACTTCCATTTACGAAAGAAGCTACAAAAAAGCTAACTGTCTCAAGACTGCTTGGCAGCCTTCATCAAAATATTTAATTGCCTGCTGCTCCCTTCCTGTTTAACAAATCGAGCAAATATGGACAGGCACTACTGAAAGCAATCACGGGTTTGCTTTAAGTTTTACACCTTCATATATCTGCTACCAGAAGTGGCACAACATATTTAAGAAACTTGTGTAGCTTTGGCCATGAGAGTACTCAAATGCTTCCTAAGTATTTGTTCTTTTTATTTGTAACCTATCTGCCAGCTTTGTGATAGACATCTTAATTAGCTTATAGGCCTTTATATAGGTGTGCTGTGCCTCTGAAGATGGAAAGCAAAAACAAAGGCATGAGTCTTGAACTGAGTTATGAAAGTGTCAGTGCTTTTATGGATTATCAGAGGTTTCCATTTAGTACTTTGTAGCCATTCCTATGCTGGGATATGGTCTTCCAGAAGGTGTTCCAGGACAGGTTGCAAGCAGATTATCTGACAACAACATGTCTATTCCCGATCCTGTATGGAAGGTGATTTGATCCAAAATGAAGACTTATCCTTACGTAGTGTTTTGTTGTAATGTTTCTTCCTGAAACTGTTTATCTAATGTTTCTGGTGTGTTTCTGAGATATTTCATATGCTGGCTGAAATAAACAATGTCGATGAGTCTTTAAGTGTTTTGTTTTTCCATAAAATAGCAGTGTTCTAGATTTTTGTTCTTATATTTTAACATTGGCACACAAGGTTTGTTTCAGATCAACATTTGATGAGGATAATCTTCTGTCAATCTGGGCACTTATTTTACCACAAAAAACAAAATTGCAAAAATCTCTATGATTTATTTCAGCCA